GATGTGAACCAGAGCAGCGGATGGGCAATCCGCAGCGCCGTGGGGCTGCTGCCACGCTCGGCTGCCTAAAGACCCCGTCTGCATTGCCCCCGCGAGCCGGGCGTGCGGGGCGTACCCCTGCTCGGAGCTGCGCAGGGCAGGCAGTCTGTGCGAAGAGCCTCGCTGGGACGTGGTCTTGGTCGCCTCCCGCTCATCGGGGCTGGATGTACTCCATGAGCAGAGCTCGGCAGGCTGAGGAGCAGGCGGGTGGGGGTGGAGGGACAGGCTGCCATCCCCCCCGCCCCCTGCTGGGAGGCAGCACGGGCCAGCAGCAGTTCACAGCCACAGTGCCACTGGGAGGCGGCAGCCAGAGCCCATCCTGGGGTGACGGGAAACACCTCCGGGCAGCGCCGGGGTTATGGCTGCATCTTGGGGTACAGCCACGAGCTCCGACTGCTCTTACCCTCCAGTGGGAGCTCGGAGCTGCCAAATGCTTGTGGGAATTGCAGTTCTGCAGTTTTGAGGACGATGGGGTAATCTCATCAGTGGTTGGAGTCAATAAGTCATTTTAGGAAACCCCTCACCATCCCGTCTGTAGCAAAGGTAATGAAATTTGCTCTGAGCTCTGCCAGGTCCCTAACGTGGAGTCCTGTGGAATAACTGATTTCATATGTTGCTGAGAGCGTGCGTGCTGCTAACACCCTTGGAGTACTCCCAAGCCCGGGGCTGCAGGAACCAAATCTGTTTCTAGCACTGCTTGTGGTGCTTCAGCCAAACATCAGCAACCCAGGAGGGCTGGGGCTGCCCGGGGGGTGGGAGCTGAGCTGCGCTGCTGCTGTCAGACGGCCCTGCTTACGTTGCTGTGTCCTCTTCCCCGCAGGAAACAGGTTTTGGCTACCAAAGCCGAGGCAGAGAAGGATGGCGTGAAGGTCCCCACTACGCTGGCAGAGTACTGCATCAAAACTAAAGTGCCTTCCAATGACAACAGTTCAGATTTGCTTTACGACGACTTGTACGATGACGACATTGATGACGAAGATGAGGAGGAGGAGGATGCCGACTGTTACGATGACGACGATTCTGGCAATGAGGAGTCGTGACCTGCTCCCTCAATGCCCCTGTACTGCCCTGCCGACTCAGGCCAGAAGGGAGCAGCGGTAACCTAGCAGCAGTCCAGCAAAAAAGTGTGGGGGGGGGATCAAAAAAAAAACTTTTTGTCTCCTGCTGTCTCCTGTTGTATGGATCTGTTTGCTCCTTTTTTATGGACCTCTTAGAGACCCTCCACAGAATGTCTGAATTCTTGCATTCTTAACCCTTTCATCACTGTATTATGATTTCTTTTTAAAAAAGAAACTCCCCTTTTCACTTCTACGAAACGCTCACAGCGAAACAGGTTTGCTCGCGTTTAGATTCTTGAATTAAATACAGTCTTGCATTGAAATGTTTAATGTATTTAAAGCTGGAACAAACCCATTGGAAGCTGGGTTTTCAGGAGCTCAAGTGCTGCATTTACTGGGAAGAAAAAAAAAATCCACACAAAGCAAATTGCCAAGGTTTAGCTGCTCCATTTACAATAATAGCGTGTGTACATTCGTTTAGCCTTGTGGTGGTGGTGGCTTTTCCTTTATAAGGTGTGGGGCGGAGAGTGTAAAGCTACTGTGTGTTGAGCTTGATGGGATTTCACTGAAAGGTACAGTATTCCTTTTCAGCCTGCTCAAGTTAGGAAATAGCTGGCCCCTGGAGCCCCAGAGGGCACAATCAGCTTTCTCTGAAAAAGGCTTGTGATATGAACCCTAAAATAAACACTTAACACTTCACGTCTGTACAACTGAGCCCTGGGTTGCTATTTATTTTTTACTTTTTTTTTCAGACTAGGTTGGGGTTGAAAAAGTTCAGTTTAGCTGTGCTGCTGAGATCTGCTGCCAGCTGCCCCTCTCCAGAGGGAGGAGAGCAGATGTGCACCCTGCTGTGCAGCAGACCAGCATTCATCCTGAACTCCTTTTTGGCAGTGGGAGAGACCGATAGCCTCCTGCCCCAGTGCCTGCCAGCAGCCCTTGCTTCCTGCAGCCCAAATCCAGTGCTGGCCTGAGCCTTCTTTCTGTTGCTGATGTAGGTCATGCGTTGGTAAGTGCAGCTCTGCTGCAGCCCTGTGGGCTCTGCGGGGCCGGCAGGAGGCAAAGCTGCCCTGGGTGCCTGCCTGGGGTGGCCTGGCTCTCCCTGCGCCCGCAGCAGCGGCTGGGGCTGGGGCACAGAGGGGGGGGGGCATGCTGGGCTCTCCCCTGCCAGGGGGGGAAGAAGCTAGAGGGGGAAAAAGGGGGATAAAAGTGGTTGGAGAAGTCTGTAAGGGAGGAAGTCGGGCAGAGGGCCACACCCGCCCACTGGAGAGATACTGAATCCTTTTCTGAGGAGGAAAGTGAGCCTGTGCAGCCCCAGGGGAGAGGGTACACCATGCTTTTGGGCTGGGAGAGGCAGCCAGGGGCAGGGTTTGACAGGCGACTTAGTGTACCAGCTGAAGCATGCTGCTGAGCTCGGCCTCCTGCATGTTTTTGGGAGCTCTTAGCAGAGCTTAGGGTCCTCCCTCCTGGGCAGGGTGGATCCTGCATGCTAGTCTCTGCAGAACCCTCTTCCTCAGTCCCTCAGCACCCTCACCCTGTTGCAGCGTGTTCTTGTTTGGCTGTGGTGCAGAGCTCACCTTAATGCGTGATCCCACGAACAGCGTCCAGCCCTGCCCTCCCACCCTCAGCCCTGGCACCTCCAGGAGCAGACCGGGGTGAGACCCTCCACTCCCGCAAGTACAGAGGCAGTTACCCTGAGAGGAGCTGCGGGATTCGGCATTTGTTTGTGCCTCCCCTTTGTACATCCCAGGGTTTTCAATGGTACGTCACCGGCTGCGGTCCCTCGACGGGTACTTTGGTGGGAGTAAACTTTGTTCTGTGATCAGCTGGGGAGCGGGATGGGAGTGAGCAAGCTCCGTGTGCTGCCCGGAGGGAGAGGAGGGGAAGGCAGCCCTTGGGGAGGGGAGGGAGGCTGGTGGGGCTCTGTTTGAAGTGATCGAGGCAGATGTGTTTTTGAAATGTTGCTTGGCTGCGATTCACCGCAGGGGGATGGTCCCTGCTCCCCTGCCCCGGGGTGCGCTGGTGGTGGGTCCTGCTGTGCCCTGTGGAGTAAAGGCAGCCCAGGTGCTGAGAGCTTGTCCCCCAGTGTTCCCCGTGAGGGTCTGCCCTCCTGCCTGCCTGTTACCTTTGGGACCCCTCCCAAACTGTCCCGCAGGGGCTGCTTCAGCTCCTCCATCCAGCAAGGACTGACTCAGCCCCTGGTGCTTTTTGGAGCCAGCAGCAGGGTCCTCTGCAACTCATGACAGCGTGGGGCACCCGGCAGCTTCCCTCCAGCCCTGGCTGCAGGAGGGCTCTCGGGGCTGCGCTGGGACGGGGGCAGCGGCCTCCAGCTCCCGGGGGCTGTTGGGGGGTGAAGGGGCAGAGTATGGCAGGGCTGGCTGTGCTGACGACTGGGTTTGAAATGAGGATACTGCATCTTTCAGGATTTCCCTTGTACTTTTGACCGTCTTCACTGTATACTCTCCAGTGACTTGTATTTCCAAGCTTGGTGTTGTAAGATGCATTATCATGACTCCTCTGTTACCCTTTTTGAAAGACAAAAAAAGCAACCTATTTTGAGAGCTCCCACATGAACCAGACTAATTTCTCTTCCCCACTGTCCCCGTGCAGTGTCATTGCTTGTTGACTTGCTGGTTTCCTTTTTTTGAGACAAACCGAAGTATGAGGGTGGGTTGGTGGTTTTGGTTTTTTTTTTTCTTTTGCAAACTATTTAAGAGATTGAGGAAAAATGTTTACCTGATCTGTGTATTCTGGTTTTTTTCTTAACCCTTTTCTCCTGTCTCTGCCGATACTAGCATTTACATTTGCAACTACAAGCCCCTTCAAATGCAGTTTTCAACCATTCTGAAACCAGCAGGGTACACTAGATTTCTTAGTAGTTTTCTTAGCTGAAATCCCAGATGTTTTCCTTTTTTTTCTTCAGTATAATTTACAAGAAAGAATTAACTGATGCATTTTTGTGTTGTCTTCCCCTTCAGTAGTTATATTTTGTCTTTTCTGCACATCTGTCTACTAATAAAAATGTGAAATGAAAACATCCCTGTACTGTTAATTCCCTATTAATTGAGCTGGTTTATTTGCATGGGTTACTTAGAGCTTTGAGTAATGGCTCGTCAAGTTTGGTGCTGCTGCAGTATCAATGCCTGTACCTCCACATAAGTGCCTATAAGGTTGGAAAAGACTGCTGCTGTTGGACAGCTGCTGCCTCAGCCCAAGCCTAAAGAAGGAACCAACTGAGGGATGTACTTTGGCAAAAGGCCCCGTGCTTTGCTGTCACATTTACCCTTCCTTAGTCAGGGAGGGGGAGATCAGGGGATGATGGTTCATGGTCGAGGGAGGCCAGCCACAGGGGTGCAAAGCTGCTGCTGCCAGGGGCCTGGGGTGCTGCTGGGGGCCAGGCCCCTGGCAGGGCAGGAGCACAGCACTCCTG